GACAAGTCTACATAGGGACCACCAAACGCAGTGCCCAAACACGAATCAAGGAACATGAAAGGCACTGCAGACTACTTCAACCAGAGAAATCAGCCATAGCAGAGCACCTGATGAACCAGCCTGGACACAGCATATTATCTGAGAACATAGAAATTCTGGACCACTCTCACAACCACCATGTCAGACTACACAGGGAAGCCATTGAACTCCACAAGCATGTGGACAATTTCAACAGAAAGGAAGAAACCATGAAAATGAACAAAATCTGGCTACCAGTATTAAAAAAAACTCAAAAATTACAACAGCAAAACAACAGAGAGTAAACAATCAGGCACATCAAATCACTCTCAACAAAAGATTCCCCCCAGGCACTTCCAAGCCATTAAATGCTAATCAAGGTGGTCAGTTGAAACATTCACACCTAGCTCCAGCAGACAAAAGTCCTTTGTCCCACCCTGGTCATTCCATAGATATATAAGCCCATTTCCCTACTTCCAACAGACCTCACTACCTCTGAGGATGCTTGTCATAGATGCAGGCGAAACGTCAGGAAAAAATGCCTCCAGAGCATGGCCATATAGCCCGGAAAAACCTACAACAACCCAGTTTCTCCCTTTTGTATCCCCACAGACTTAAATCTATGCCAGAGGAGTGTAAAACCCTCTGAAAGTGACTTTCAGGCAGCCCTGAAGTTTGTAGAGGAGAGATCCAGGTGCAACACTACCACTGGTTTTATGTTGGGATTAGGCCACAAGATCCATTGTTTCTCTTCACACCTCATTCTCCTGGTTTCCACTCCTGACTAACAACCTTGCCAGACAGCCACTGGAGGTGCTTCGCTTCATAGAGGGATATGGGGAACCCAGTGCCTCATACCCTGCATCGCCCAGCTCCGCCTGAGGGTGATCAGATGGGGGAAGTGTAGTGCGTGCAACCCCCCCCCCCCCAATGCACTGCAATGGCAACAAAGGAACCATCCCATGTTGCCCTGGCGGAGGCATGCACGGCCTCTACTGTCCTTCACTCACAAATCCATGCAGGCATCATCTGATGGGAGTCGGCCAGCTCGGTGGTGACAGGGGCAAAATCGGCACATGCCAATTGTATTTAGCAATGTTCAATTCCATAGATTCCATTTCAGAGCCACTGTTATTGCAACTTTTCCTCTCACCGGTTCCTTATGGAAGGTTAATATGGCGAATATGATGAAGGGAGGTGTGTTTTCCCCTTTCGAATCTAAATCCAAGATATTTGCTAATGTGTCAAAAATAACACAATTTAGATAAAGCTGTTTTCACAGCAAGCCACATTTTGTCATTAGGTCCTGAGTGTTCTCTATTAGTTCCATATAAATTTGGTTTGAACAAGGACAAGAAAAGAAGCGGGGGGGGGGGGGGGGGGGGAGACCCTCACTTCAATAAAACTAAAATAATTCCTTCCTGTCTAATAAGCACATTGGAAAGGCAGGAATTTGATGATGAGCTGTCAGCCACAATGTAACTGCAATTTGATTAATGTTGAAATCATAATCTGTAGCATTGCTGTATGAATAATTACGAAATTGTGCCAGAAAATAAGAGTGACTTTCATTTCCTGCTCTTTCGAAGACCAAACCCCTCTGTTTAATAGTCAGGAGATATTGCCTTCCAAACCTGGTTTTCTGAATAACTAGATTACAGAAAGGAAGATGAGAATTTGTCATAGCTTTGGACTGAAATAATAAAATTGAGTGACTAAGGTCACAATCCTCGGCATGCTTATGTGGCAGTAAACTTCCTTGAACTCAGTGGGACCTACTTCTGAGTAACTGTAATAGGATTATGCTGTGAGATTATGGAAAGGCAAAATCCACTTTGATGCCCACCCAGTAAGGAATTTTCTTCATTTTTAAACTTGCCACACACCAGGCAGTCTTAGTTTGCTTCCTTATACATCTCATTTTTGGGGGAAGAAATGATTGCCCTTTTAAGTCTCTTCTCGCAATTAATATTAATATGTTAAAATAAGTCTACTGTTATTACATCAGAGAGGTGCCTTCCGAGAAACCATTGCTAGATACATGACATGGATAGTGAATATTCAGAGCCTCTCAAATGCAGCAGCATTGACAATGTACACACTCTTGGTTGTTGTTTTTTATGTGTATATTTTGTCTCCTTTGCTCATGTTTCATCTAAAAAGTGACAAGATAGTCCATATTCTGTAGGTTTCCTGAACTAGAACTGGGATTGGACTAAAGTGCAGGCCTCCAGTAGTAGTTGATCCTTAGTTTACATAACCAATGGTGAAGAACCAGCATCATTTGGAGGATCACATATTTCCCATCTTCATCAAAATGATGATATGCACACTCCCTAAGTGTCCCAATTTGAAAGAGGTGGTTCCAAATAATCCTCTCCTATCCCACTTTTATGTTGCTTTTAAAATGTCCCAATTTCTTTGTGTTTTCCCTCATTAATAATTTTTGCTACCTTATAATGTTGTTTGGCTAATTTCCATCTGTGAAATGAACTATATGGCCCCTCTCTATTAGTTTGGAGAATACTTGTGTTCCTCTTTCTTAGTCTGGACAATATTTGGCTTCAGTTATTGAATGCATCTGCTTTTTTTAAAAGGTTCAAATAATGAATTAAAGGGAGATGTTTCAGATATATTTGGACCAATTCAAATACTAGGGCCAACACAATGCATTTAAATGAAATTATGGGAGGAGTGATGATCGTGGCAAGAGATGTGACATATTTATTTATTTTGTATACTGACCTTCTCACCTCTCTTGAGGGACTCAGACCAGTTTCCAACCATAATATCACATACAATCCATAAAACATCATAATACATATTACAGTAAAACATTAAAACAGCAATTACAATCAATAACTATAATGGTCAGTCGTCACACTAAAATCGTTGCTCATCATCCTCCATCCATATATCAGGGTGTTGGCTCACTCGTCGAATGCCTGTCTCCATAACCAAGTCTTCACCTGTTTACTAAATGTCAGGATAGAATGGGCGATTCTGATCTCCAGTGGGAGAGAGTTCCAGAGTCGAGGGGCCACCACCGAGAAGGCCCTGTCCCTCGTCCCCACCAGACACGCTTGCGAGGCTGGTGGGACCGAGAGCAGGGCCTCTCCAGACAATCTTAATAATCCTGATGGTTCATAGGGGAGAATACGTTCAGAGAGGTAAACAGGGCCGGAGTCCTAACTAAGTAAGCAATACAGAATATGGATCATTCCACTTCCAGATATATAAGATTGCATTCACCCTTGTCCAAAGTCCTGTGTTGGAATGATAATCATTACTTCAACATCTAGATCAGTGGTTCTCAACCTTTCTAACGCTGTGCCCCCTAAATATGGTTCCTCATGTTGTGGTGACCCCTACCATAAAATCATTTTAGTTGCTCCTTTATAACTGTAATTTTGCTACTGTTACGAATCATAATGTAAATATCTGATATGCAGGATGTGTTTTCATTGTTACAAATTCAACATAATTAAAGCATCATGATTAATCAGAAAAAACATGTTTGGGGGAGTATGGAAAACAGATTATGGGATTTGCAGTACCTTCAACCGATTCAGCTCTGACTTCCACAGACCTCTAAGACCTCCACACAGAACACCCATGTCAAACAAAAATACTGGGGGGGGGGGGTTGGGAGGAATTGACAGTGATTGAGGGGAGATGTAGTTCACCTACATCTGAAGAGCATTGTGAACCCAAACAACTATGGATATGGACCAAACATGGCACAAATACCCAATAAGCCCAAATTTGAACACTGGTGGAATTTGGGGAAAATAGACCCTGACATTGGGGAGTTGCAGTTGCTTGGATGTATAGTCATCAAAGAGCATTCTGAACTTCGCCAGCAATTGAATTGAACCAAGCTTGGCATACCGAATTCCCATGACCAAAAGAAAGTACTGCAGAGGTTTGGGGGAAATAGACCCTGACATTTGAGAGTTGCAGTTGCTTGGAGATATAATTCCCCTGTCATTAAAGAGCATTCTGAACTCCCAACAATCATGGTATTGAACCAAACCTGGCATACAGAACTCCCATGACCACCATAAAATACTGGAGAAGTTTGGGGAAAATATACATACCTTGGCATTAGGGAGTTGCTGTTGCTTGGTGCATTCTGGAGGAGTCTGGGCCCACATCTGACAGGGAGGCTCGTGCCTCCGGCAGGCCCAGCAGGTGGTGAGAGCCGGGCCTTACATGGAGCCTCTTGCCTGGCTCACATCCCTGCCGGCTGGCAAGTGGTGAGAGCCAGGCGAGGGAGGCTTTGCGCGAGGCCAGGCCTCACGCGAAGGAGCCCTTGTTGGGCTCTCACTCTTGCCGGCCAGGGATTTATTCACAGAATAAATCCCAGCATGATTTTTCAAGGCTTTCTCACAATGCAGAGAGAAATGGTAAAACAAGCAGTTCTTTCATATTAAAGAATTTCCTAAGAAAATTATGAAGGCCTGCATCTACTGCCCTTATTCAGCAATATGGGAAATTTGAACACAATTTTTTGGATTAGGTGGTGATATGGCATGTTTTAATGCAAGAGGATTTCTTCTTTTTCCAATGATTGGAATCAGTGTGGGAATATGGTATGCAAAAAAAAGTTCAGTCTTGTAAAATTAAGATCCACTCTTTCAGTAAAAACATTTTTTAAAAAAAACATGACTCTCTCATTGACCCATTGTAAAACAAAACTCAGTAACTAACAAGGCCTTTCAAGGAATTGCTGATGTTTTTGTAAAACACATATTCTTTCATCCTCCAAACATAGTTATTTAAATCTGCATTCCTATTTTGCAGCATAACATAATGTTAGTAATTTCCTTTACCCTTAAATGAAGAGTTTCAGGCAACTGTTCTTTTGAATCCCTCAAATGCGCTAAAGAAAGCAATGAGTTTGTTGTTGTCTCTGTCATTGTTTCTTCATTTTGCCATACATTTGACACTTTGATTTTCTTTTCACCTGTATTTTATAGAAAATGCAAATAAATTGGAAGAAAGTGCCAGAGGGATGTACATTCCTTGTCCAGAACATTATCATGGTTTATGCGAGCATGGAAAATGTGAACACTCGGCTAATATGCTGGAACCATCTTGCAGGTAACACTTTTCTCAAACTGAGCATGTGATGATAAACTGAATCGGCAGACTTGCTAATACAGGTTATCTGGATGCTGCAAGGAAGACAATAATTGTCAAAGCCCCATCCACTCTGGATCTAAATTATGTACGGAGGCACATAATGTACGTAGCAAAACTGTGCTGAATTATTCAGTAGCATTAATCGGTTTATAAAAGCATTCCTGCAATGGCTGTCAATACTGTCCTAAAAGGGCACTACAGAAGTATAAGTTGTTCCGCCGTGTAGTATCCGTTGATTTTGAGCACGCAGACAACAGCTGCCATGTCAAGAAACCCAGCAGTGTGCAGTAAGTCAAGAACTATGTCAACATCAATTTCTTCATGTGGCAAAATGGTTGGAGACAGAAGGTTGCTGTGAAGTGTAAGAAAGGTGAGGGTTGAGGAAAGGTTAGCTTCGGAAAGCAATGCTATGTGGCAGCTAATGGAACTCAATGTCCGGATCTCATACTTCATCAGAGTGGGAAACTTAGAGCAGAGGCTGTGGGTTTTGGCACTCCTCAGTTCAAGCAAACCTGCTTCTTGAGATTGATCCTCGTTTTTTAGAAGTCTCAGGAATAAATGCAGGATCGAAGCATATGTGTGCCTTCAAGTTACCCGTAGACTTAAGGTGACCCAATGAATTTCATAGAATTTTCAGAGGTTAGGAATATTCAGAGGTGGTTTCATCATCTCCTTCCTATGTAATAGAAGCTAATGTGTTTGGTATTCATAAGTAGTTTACCAACCAAATACTAACCAAATATTTAGTTCCAAACTCTGGAGTAGCAGGAGCTAAATAATGAGATTTCCTCTTTAGCAGTGCTTCCACAAAGTCATATTCTGCTGCCTTTTGTTGCATAGAGGTGACCCATAGATCTTAAAGTATAAGACAGCCAAACACACTCTAGAGCAGGCATGGGCAAACTTTGGCCCTCTCAATATTTTGTACTTCAATTCCCGGAAATTCCAGCTTACTAGATATTAGGAGATGTGGGAGTTGAAGTCCAAAACACCTGGAGGGCCAAAGTTTGCCTATGCCTGCTCTAGAGATTCTGCCAAGTTTACTAAGCATACTAAAGTGGAGAGAAGTTCCTCATCGGAAGATCACAAATCTTTAGGGTAAATATATTAGGTGCCTTTGTGATAACAGTTCTCTGGAGTGGCATGGGGTGCTTACATGAATCAAAATGCAGTGCATGAATTGGCCTTCAAGCTGATCCTGAGTAGACAAATTTTAAAAGAGCCTTCAGTGACCTTCCTGCTATTCTCTCTCTCTCTGCCAAGGTATCACATACTGTCATTACAATTTTTAATCCTCAAAGCAATCAGGAAAACAGCCACTGTGGTGTAGTAGTTTGTGTTGAAATTGGACACTGGGAGATCAGGGTGCAAAACTTTGCTTGGCCATGATACTCACTCATCCTCAGAGGAAGGGAGGGGCTATCACACTAGCAAAACATGCTGCAATTTTGCATCTTCTTTTGGGAAGTGATTTGTCTCTTTTTTCTAACAGCATCAAACTTTATCACACAGGCCCATGGATTCATCCCACATTGGGGTGAATACATAGGCTCCTGGCAGGGGGTGTGGAGAAGCTGCCACTCCATGCTCTACATCACCAACCTTACCTTCTCCCTCATCCCATGGGGGAAGTGTCACTGCCTGGTTCCTCCCCATTGAAGGGAAGGCAGCACAGGAAAGCTTCAGTATTGCCGCAGTAGCGACATGCATGGCATCACCTCCCTTTTCAGCATGGAGCCCAGGCAGAAGTCACTTTACATCACGTGAGGTGCTCTGTGCCATAAAGGGAGGTAAAACACCATACAATGGCCAAAGCGACCCATCTGATAAGACTCAAAGTGGCACGGGTGTACCTATAGGTAACAAGGAGGTTAAGCTCCCCTCAAAAAAATATGCTTCTCCCCTGCAATTTTCCTTCACTCTACAAATTTCTAGGGTTGCTGAGAATTAAGCCAAAAATCATTCACACATAGAACTATACGTTTGATCTTTGCAATCTCTTGATAACTTGACCAACCCCTTTTCTTTGGATGCCTAAACTGTATTTCTAAGAGATCAATTGAGCCAGTGTGGTAAAGTGATTTGAGTGTCTGACTATTACTCTGGAGGTCAATGTTTAAATATCCTTGCAGTCATGGAAACCCGTAGGGTGACCTTGGATAAGTCACACACTTTTGGCCTCAGAAGGCAATGACAAAATGCTCTCTGAAAAAAACATTTATGCATATGTCAACAATGACTTCAAAGTACACAGCAACGAAAGATACTAGAAAACTGAAGACTGAAGGAACATTTCATTGGAGGCAGAATTCTAATTTTGGGGATCGCTGAACCCTCATTTTGCCCCTCCCTGTAACAATAAGCCAGATGACCATCTTATTTAGTGATCATAAAAAGGTAGAGGGATTCCACACTTAGCTAGGGAAAACTGGAAAGGGTTTGCTATGGCATTATCACATCCACATCATACACAGCTGCCAAAGAGACAGTGCAAATGGTGAACACTAGTAGAAGGCACTGCTTATACTGTATTGGATGCAAAAGGTTATAGGTTTTGTGCTGAAGCTCTTATCTGCTTGAGGGAAATATATTTGTTTATAGTAGTAACCTTTCTTCCCATAAGATAATTTCCATTGGCCCTAACAAATCTCAGTGTCAATTAAATAATTGCATGCATTACCTTCTAAATTAAGCTATCCCCATCCCAAAGAAGGGGCATTTAATGACTTTTGGTGGAAATGCCTCCTGGAGTGACACCTACTTTTACGTCATTTCATCACCAGCCAAAGATCTCCCTTTCTCAAGCCTTTTAATTTGAATGGTTTTATTTCAGCTATTTTAACTTGTTTTGATGTGTTTTAAAATGTTGGAAAATGTGGCTGGAGGGCAGGTTAGAATAATCTTTGAAATTAAAAAAATACAAATAATTGGTAACAGCTTCAGATTAATTGTTATGTGGAACAAGCTAGACCTCTTCAAGAAGGCCTTTTCTGTGACTTCAGCTTTTCTCATGTTGGAATTTTAGCTTCGGGTGGTAGGCAGCAGTCATAAACTGTCCACTAAACCAATCCCCTTATATTGCAAAGGTTATTGAGACATAAAAGCAGCATTTTTGTACATCATACAAGATATACACAGTCACCGCAATGCAGTATTCCAATCCAGTTTTAGAATGACATGTCTCCACAGGGTCCTGACCACATCTGTTCAAAGCAAAAAAATACGACTATGGGAAAAAGAGGAGTAAATATGTCTTTGTTTGTTCTAGGTGTGATGCAGGTTACACTGGACAACGCTGTGAAAAGAAAGACTATAGTGTTTTATACGTAGTTCCTGGCCCTGTACGGTTTCAGTATGTCTTAATAGCAGCCGTGATTGGGACTATCCAGATCGCTATCATCTGTGTTGTGGTCCTCTGCATTACAAGGTGAGTAGCATAGTCAAAGATATCTTCTGCACTCTGATCTAGATTACAAGTGTTTTCTACAAAATAATACAGCTGAGAAGCATAGAAGCACATACATTTGTTTTCCCCCAGAACTTAGAAAGTTCTGGATTCCAGCTCCCAAAATCAATACCCCTGGTTCATTCTGGGAGCTACTATTTAAAAAAATCATTGTGTCCAAGCTCTGCTTTTCCTGTTCCTATTCGATCAACACTCCAACTATAACCCTGCCTGGAGGCTGGTGAGAAGTACTGCTTGCTCATGGCTGCTTGGACAATCCTTGTGTGGTGTAACACCGCAGGCTTAATTGTATGTCAGCTTTTACTCATGTTTCTGCTAAAAGATAACCATTGTGTTTTCATTTATATCAGCAGCCTTAACATTGTTCTGAGGAACACCCCTGAAAACTTCTCAAGTTCTAAATCAAAAGATCAATAATGCCAAAAGAACTCCCATCATAGAAGATGCCTTGTCTACGGCCCACACCAGGTTTACTTTGTATGTGCAGTTTAAACATGTTCCCTGACAGGAGTGAGAAACCTGTGACTTTCCAAATGTTGACAGACTTCAGTTTCCATTATCCTTTGCTAATGCTTTGCCTTACTCTCCCAACATTTTACAGATAAAAATAGAGACACATGTAGCCAAGCAATTGCAAAATGTGGTCAAGATGGCAGAGACACGCCATCCCCTCTAAATGTGAATTCTGGGGCGGGGGGGGGGGGGGTTAAAAAAAAGCTGAATGGAATCCATCTGACTTGTCCAGCAATCCATAACTGCATCCAAACACAGTAGAAAGTTGAAGGGGATCTCCTTTTGATGCCTCAAGGATTATCATTTCTTGTATTTTGGTATGACACTCTTTTTATACAGACATATATACAGTTGAAATACAGTTTATATACTCCTGTGTAAGTCTATTAATTTAATTTGAAAGAAATCAGTCCCCCCCCCCCTTTAAAAATTCACTTATTTATTATATCTTAGCTCTTATATATAAAAAAAAGAACCATTCCCTTAGCTTTTTCCATGAGAAACTTTTTAAAAGTATCCCCCCCCCCCCCCAACTTTCCCTGCCATTGCACCACTTCTGCCCTTTTGAATCTCTGTACAGGAAAATGGCAGTAATGGCTCTTTGCTGCTTCCCCTCCAAGGAGCACTGAGAGAATAGAGAGGGTCAGTGTTTTGTTTTTGGTTTTTTTAGGTCTCTTGAGATGGACGAAAATCTCATATTATGCCACTCTACTCAGACAAGGAATCTCATCATATTGAGGTCATTAAGACAGGTGATAGCAAGGAGATTCACCATGGATCATGTTGAATCCACAGTGAGGTGTAGGGAACTCATTGCCCCATGCCCTGCATTGCCCCTTACTTCATCACAGGCAGATTCCCCCTATTGTTGCCTCCTGTTTTCCCAGCGCTACCTCTTACAACAGTTTGACCTCACTTTCAGCAGGAAGCCCCACTGGAAATATATCTACATCATGTGATGGGATCTGGCGGGCTCTGTTCCTGAAGTGAGGTCAAACTATCAAAGAACTGGCAGTTTTACTCATCTGATGAGGTCTAAGAAGATGGTTCCTTTTTATATAAGGTTTAATACTGTATCATAACATTTATTAAAAAAGGAACCACTCCCTTCTCTTAGCTACAGTGACAAAGGTCTTTTCAAATGCTTAAGCAGGAAAGTGATGATGGTGGCCAGAGGACGTTGTCCTCCTGAGATGGTGATAACACTTCCCATCTGCACAGAATGACCCTCAATTTACACAACAACTATATCAAAACTCACAATTTTGGCTCCAAAACCTGCCCTCAACATGAGGTTGACTTAGACATGACCATATACAACAGGTCATTATTTTTCATAGAGCGTGCCTTCCAAATGATGGTGTGGTTAATGTATACTTGGTTCCTTCAACCACCTTCTTCAGATTTTAAAACATGACATCTGTCTGTACTCCCAATCTCATCTGAATGAACCCATCTCCCAGCTCAAATGGATTCAATGGATTTGAGACTTTGACAATCACTACCAGTCAAATTAGATAGAACTGGTGTAAATGGACTGAGAGGAAGTCTTTGTGTGAAGCAATTTAAAATGTTGTCTGTCCATAAATATTATCAATATAAATCTGTTATTACTTTTTAAAGGGGTTTACAGTTTCCCTAGTTTCTTTTGGCTTTTCCTCTGACTTCACAAGGTGATTCAGTCTTCCTTTAGCTACTCTAATAAATCTTCTGCCTGAAAAATAAATCCCTTTTCAAAACAAGATGATAGGAAAAGGGAGAAAAAAAATAGATATATAGAAACTTTAAAAGCTCCAATATATCTAAGCATCCACATCTCGCTATGCTCAGAGGAGAGGTGTGACATTTGGGCCAGAAAAAGATACAAAATAATTCATAAATCCTTTTCTGCCCTAAAGGCATAATAGAAAAATGCCGGCTGTAGCCAGGAGATGGTTTGCCGACCCAAACTGGGTTCATCAACTCTTCCCTCAAGAGTTAGATGCTCCCTTGCAAAAAGGCAATGCATTATATTAAAGCAGGTTTCAAGGAACAGAACAATAATTTACACAGGCAAAAATACTGTGTACATAAAAGGATGGAGATGGGAAAGTAACTGCTCAACAGAAAAATGGCACTACATCATGTTTCCAAGCAATCTTCTCCAGCAACTTCGGGCCCATTAGCTTTAGGCCATAAAGCAAGATAACCATTTGTATGTAGAGAAAATGGTTGGGTTTTACTTGAATCCTACCGATTCATCTGGGGAGACAGAAGAGTATCCCAAGGCCAACCTCTAATCTTTTTCTCACACATAAGCCTTTTCTTTGTGTTGTCTTTCTCACAGGGGTCCTCAAACTTTTTAAACCAGGTCACAGTCCCTCAAACTGTTGGAGGGCCGGATTATAATTTGAAAAAAATATGAATGAATTCCTATGCACACTGCACATATCTTATTTGTAGTGCAAAAAACACTTTAAAACAATACAATAATTAAAATGAAGAACAATTTTAACAAATATAAACCTATTAGTATTTCAATGGGAAGTGTGGGCCTGCTTTTGGCTGATGAGATAGGATTGTTGTTGTTGTTGTTGTTGTTGTTGTTGTGTGCTTTCAAGTCATTCAGACTTAGGTTGACCCTGAGCGAGGGCCGGGTAAATGACCTTGGAGGGCCGTATGCGGCCCTCAGGCCTTACTTTGAGGACCCCTGCTCTAGACAAAGAACCATATGCAACTTGGTGAGAACTGTCCAACATATATAATCAGCGACTTGTTCATATAAAGTAAAACATTAGCCATAAACTATAAAAAAATATGGAAATACTGCAGGTCAGTTCATACTAATTTCAGCTGATCACCTTGGGGTGCTACAGTGAATGGTAGGGCAGTCGACTTGCTGTCATATAAGACACAGGCGGAGGCTGGATGTACAGTATGATAAAATGCAGTTTTAAAATGCAGATTATGTGCATTGAACTGGATTATATGGCAGTGTAGATCCAACCTAAGACCCTACCTGTATGCACATAAGTTTCCTTGCACAGTTGTGTGTCCTCCCACCACCCAGCTCTGAAGGGTCCTTGCTGCTGTTGTTTATCACTGGAGACGCTGGGTGTGAAGATATGATCCAGACCACGTCGTAGCAGCTGCTCTCAGCTAAATTGGGGAGGGAGGAGAAATGAGGATATTCTCCGAAATGGAGGATACCTACCTATTCTTTCAGAGCAACCAGATATTCCTGGCTTCCTTTCTCCCCGGGAAGAAGGAGCATTAGCAGCTTTTCCTGGGGTGTGACAACTGCCAAGTGTGAGAGATTTTTGGACGAAGGAATAAGGGTGAGAGAATGGCCCTCTGCTTGTTATTGTGTGGCTTCAAGTCTTGTTCAGTTTTCTTCTGCTTCATTATTTGTGACCAGGGCAGCTTCTTCCATCTGGCAGTTTTGACAGCAGACTCCTTAATCAGGTGGCTGAATTAATGTCCCCTCCACTTACCATGGTACAAGGACACTATATACAGATTAGTGATTCAGACTGAGCATTCCAACTAAGAAGGTGGCTGGAAAAAAAATCATTTCAAGATTTCTCCAATCACCTTTGTGGTTTTTTTTCTCTTATTTGACTTTCTAATTTGTGACACTGCTGCTGGGAATTTGAGGATTGGTACCATACTCTGAAATGGCCTACAGGCACCAAATCCTGCCTGAACTTGGAAGGTACTTGGATGGGAAATTGCCCATGAATGCTATGTGCTGTAGGCTATATTGCAGAGGAAGAAACTGGAAGAACTGCCTCTTAGTATTCCTTGCTTAAGAAAATCTTTAGAGATTCATGGGATCACCATAAATTGACAGGCGACTTTAATGCACACACACAGAGAGATACACACAAAATATGCACATATAAATATACACATGTAACATTTTAAAGGATTATAGTTTCTTTCTAAAAACACACACAAATTGAATGCAGAAAAAAGTTTGAAATTCTAAAAAAAACCCGATTCCTAAGCAGTAAGAAGCAGTGACGGCACTGAGCTAGAACACATGGAGCTAGGTAGCACACAATCTCTCTCTCTCAAACACCAGGACGACACAGAAAAATGGTGGAGCTCACCCTGGTATATGTAGATCAGCTTTGCAAAAAAGATATGTGATCCACTTTCTTCTTCTGATTGGCTCTAGCAAGGTTAATTGGGGGGGGGGGGGAATCCCAAGTGTGGCTGCTCTTCTCATGTGGCAGCCGAATGCAACCTTCCCATTTCCGGGGATCCGGCTGACAGATCACCTGAATCCCCTGAATATGGTACATCAAAAATACTGTGCACACCCTAACAAATATCTAATAATGAGGGGTATAAGCATAAATACAGGATTATCTATAAAGTATTGTGAATGATTTTGGTATTGTACAGAAAGGTCTCTCTTGGCTTCTTAGTGAATAGCTATTACCTAGGTCTAGTAAGAGAAGCCCATGGTAATGAGTACAAGAGAGCATTTTAGTCACAATGTAAAATGTAACATGTAAGGGAAATGTGATACAATTATTTTGTTATTTATAATGCTTAACCTCAGAAATCTGATATACGTCCTTGTTCACTAGGATATTTAATGGTTTTTAAAAAATGTTTCTTCCGTTTTATTATTTGATGATTCCTAGAGTTTTAACTAGCTTGGCTTTTTTTTACTTCTCTTTTATTTATTTGTATTGATTACTTGACTGATTATGGCTACAGCTTGTGTTAGCATTTCTTGTGCAGTGTGGGAGGCAGTGTTTGTTTAGTGTGTTTTGTCAGATAGGCTTTTATAATTATTTTGAAATAATTTCACTGTACATATGGCATGAGCTCCAGAATTTACCACTAGCAAATGCCAGAGCTTCTTTCAACAATAGAAGCTTTGAAATCTATTTATTTCCTACTGGCTCATTAGGTAGACTGAGCCCCCAGTGGCGCAGTGGGTTAAACCCCTTTGCCGGTAGGACTGAAGCCCGACAGGTCACAGGTTCGAATCTGGGAAGAGGCGGATGAGCTCCTTCTATCAGCTCCAGCTCTTCATGCGGGAACATGAGAGAAGCCGCCCACAAGGATGATGAAACATCAAATCATCCGGGCGTCCCCTGGGCAACGTCCTTGCAGATGGTCAATTCTTGCAGTTTCTCAAGTAGCTCCTGACATGACAATAAATTAAAAAAAATAGGTAGACTTAGGTAGACTTGATCTTGGTTCCTCTCTCCATTATAGCTTCATATGTCTCCATATATGTCCTGCTATGCCTGTCCAAATCTGGTCCATGAGGTTTGGCGTGCCTCTAGACCAGGGGTCCTCAAACTTTTTAAACAGAGGGCCAGGTCACAGTACCTCAAACTGTTGGAAGGCCGGATTATAATTTGAATAAAGCATGAATGAATTCCTATCCACACTGCACATATCTTATTTGTAGTGTAAAAAAAACACTTAAAAATAATACAATAATTAAAATGAAGAACAATTTAAAAATACAAATTTATTAGTATTTTAATGGGAAGTGTGGGCCTGCTTTTGGCTGATGAGATAGGATTGTTGTTGTTGTGTGCTTTCAAGTCATTTCAGACTTAGGTTGACCTGAGCGAGGGCTGGGTAAATGACCTTGGAGGGCCGCATCCGGCCCCTGAGCCTTAGTTTGAGGACCCCTGGTCTAAAAGAATGGAAAATGTGGCAGTGGGCATTCAAAGGGATTGCTAAAGGGCCAAGATCACTTATGCCCCCCTGCTCACTTTTGACTAGCGGGAGCAATTGAAGCAATCTTTAGAGAAACATTCCTGTAAAAGAAGCTTCATGAAAATTTTATTGTTGCAAGCTATAGATTTGTTAAGTGGATAGTATATTTAAAATTTTAAAACACATAAATAAATTGTATTTTTTGTAAGCTCCCTGGAAGGGAAAAAAAACCTTTCATTCAGTGTTTGTATGAAAGAGCATTGCAACCATGAGGAGCTGAAGCCCTTTACTGCTTTCTCCTGAACATTAAAAAGCCATAGGAATGCCCCCTGGGGCTTCAAAAAAAACAGGGTCAAAAAATCCTGGAAATTCAAAGCTGCTCACATCTCATGAAGGCTGTCAGCCATCCATTTTCCCCCCATATTCATACTTCCCTGGTCTGAATTAGACTTGGAGACATACGGTATATAGAGGTTTCCTTTGTTTTAGTATACATGGTTTTTCAGCTGCCTTGTAGACATATTTTCTAAGCGTGGAAGTAACCCTGGCTGTCAGCAGGTCCCTGGGTATTTTCAGACTCCAAAATGAGAATCAGCTTTCTGGAAGAACACAAAGAATTGCCCCTTTTTGCTCCTTTGCCGTAGCTTGCCAGCCAGGGAAGGATGAGTCCTACACTCCGCCTGCTGTTTCTCCATGGCCTTATGTCCTTGTGTTCCCTCCATGGTCCTTTAGCAAAGCAAATTTCATGTTCTCTTTCCCTTCCCCGCCTCCCGTTCCCCAATTGCTTTCAGGAAATGTCCCCGGAGCAACCGAATCCACAGGCAGAAGCAAAACACAGGGCACTACAGTTCAGACAACACAACCAGAGCATCGACCAGGTTAATTTAAAAGAGCGCATGTTTCCACAATGGCAAAAGTAAGCTTCAGAGAGCTTGGACTTTACAAAATACAGTATTATAGACAAAAGATCTACACATGTTGCCTTGCATTTGTGGTAATCTACACCAATGAGAAGAAGAAAAACATGTACTACAGCTATATTTGATTATGTATGGATATATTTGAAATAGTATACATTGTCTTGATGTTTTTTTTCTGTAATGTAAATAAACTATTTATATCACACAATATAGTTTTTTCTTTTTCATGTATTTGTTATATATAATAAATACTCAGTGATGAGAAAAACTTTTTTTTTTGCTTTCTTACATTTTAAAAATCTGGCAAATATATTATCTTCTGATCCAATCACCCTGATTTGCATATATATAATGCATTGATTTACTGTTAGCACAATAGTACCATTTCAACATGACACTCTTCCAGGTTGATTGAAAGCAGGATGCATTTATGGTGCAAAATTAATGTAATTTGATACCATTTTAATAGTCATAGTTCAATGACATAAGAACCAGGGAGTTGTAGTTTGGTGAGGCACAAGCATCCTTTGGCGGAGAAAGCTACAAATCCTCAGCATTCCATAGCAATGACACATGGCAGTTTAAGTGGCATCAAACTGCATTAATTATACAATACAGATGCACCCAAAGAGTGAGTTTTTGAGATATAATTTGCCAGTTGTTGCTGTTTACAAGTCAACGCATTGCATTTGGATGGCTGTTTCTAATAGAGGGTTTTAATTGTTCTAAGGCTCTTCTATTTGTTTATATTTTTAAAATAAGAGAATAATTTGTTGATGTGTGCTTATGGTTTGAAGAGCAATTTCCTCTTCTCTGATTTTGTTTTAACTTACAGTTATAGAGCAAATTTACCATTTCTCTGGTGTCTTAATTCGCTATGGTACCATAATAGAAACACTAATTTAAAATAGAAGGAAAGGGAATGCATAGTTCTGCTATGTCTTAGAATTAAGAAGAAACCACTTGAGATTGATGTACGAAGAGTTGAAACTGGTGTCAGGATTTGCCAGAAAACAGCCTGTAACAATAGAGGTGTCAATTACATATTATTTTTTAAAAATACAGAGAACTACATCACCTACTGTAGCTTCCAGACATGTCTGTCCTGTTTGAGGGCCCTTTAGTTAAGTTTCTTTGACAGTGTTGGTGGGATATGGTCAGCATAACTGTGCAGAATTGCAATTATACTATTTTTTAAAACCCACTACCGCAATTACTTCTTCATGCAACTCTTATCCCAGTTCTTCCCCTGAGTAACTGCCACTTGGGTCACTTTGGTGCTTTCTGTAATTTGTTTAAAACTTCTTAAGCTGGATTGGAGTCCCCAAAGCAACAGGCAAATTAAAACATATAAACAATATGGTAATAAATGGCATGCTGATGAAATTAAAACAGAAGGTAAGCAATATTCAGAAGCAAAGTGTGGAATTATTTAAAAAATGCAACACCAGTAGGTAGAAAAATGTGCATGCTGGGAGAATTACACACTTCTTCAAGCAATTTAGCTGACAACATTTCGTTCAATCACTCACTCAGGCTCCATCTATACTGCCTTATAATGCAATTCAATGCAGTTAAACTACATTATATGAGTTTACACTGACCATATAATACAGTTTAAGATGGATCTACACTGCCATAGAATGTAGTTTTAGAATGCAGTGTAACTTCATTGAACTGAATTATATGGCAGTGTAGACTTATAATCCAGTTCAATCCAGCTAAACTCCATCTTTAGCTGTGTTGGGTTGTTGTAGATTTTTTCGAGCTATATGGCCATGTTCTAGAGGCATTTCTCCTGACATTTCGCCTGCATCTATGGCACATCTTCAGCTGTGTTATTGGGCAGCATAGATCCAACCTCAAATTACATTATATGGCAGCGTATATGGTGCCCCAGATGGGAGGAGGAAAGGGGTGACATAGAAGAGCCATCCAATGGGATTATAAATTGGCAGTAATATTGACAGAAAAAGAAGAAAGGGTATTGGTTCAGATATTTATGAAGAAATAAGTGTTTCTGCATCCATGTGAGGAAGAAAAAAATCCATCACTGCTGTGGTCATATGATCTAAAATAATCCAATGAACATGTGTACCTGCCTAAAATGCCCTTTTCTACCAAGATGACTTTAAGACATATCTGATTTTGGATTAAAGCAGGTAAGTGTGATCTTAATGGGCTCAGACCAGAGTAGGATACTGCAGACTGAAGTTGGGATACAGCCCTCAAGTGAATTTGGCCAAATATTTAATGGTCCAACTAAACCCAGGCAAGAAAAAGTTGACCTTAATTCACAAGGGAGGGCGATGCTCAAGTTGTAAAACCTTTAGGTGACCAAAGAAAAATACGACTGAGACTATGACATACAGCCATGGGCGCATGTCCAGCTTCATGTGGCATCATGAGAGAGATTGGAAGAAGGTAAGGAATGGTGTCTGGATAGTACAGCTGACTGTTGACTCCAGTAAGGGGGTGGTGGGAACAACACATGTGGTTTCTGCTTGGAACAGCAAAATGTCTTTGGGTCGCATTGATCACATGTGTAAGGACAGTGGGTTCCTTCTTGTCATGCATTCAGGGATGTAGCCCTCTCATGTTGTTAGATTTCATCTTCTGTTACATTTCATTCATTGGCTATGATAGTGGTGGTGGCGGCATGATGGTTGTAGTAATGGTGATGACAACAATGGAATATATTTACTACTTACCACATAAAGTATTACAAAATAATGATAGGATTGATGGGAAATTGAAGTCCAACAACATTTGGAGGACTCTACACTCCCACCTCTTCTTTAATTCTGAGATTTCTCCTTGAAAAATGAGCACCTTGGTTTCTAAATGCAGTTACTGGTTGGACACATTAGCAGAAAATAGGCATGAAAAGTAGGTTCGCAAGAAAAATTCAAGCTCATCCCATCTTGAGGTTGCAGGAAGAAGCCTCCAGCTTTTCATAAGTAGAGTGACTGAAATACCTTCTTCTCTATAGTGTTAACATTGCTGGCTAAAGAAAGCAACTGGGAATGAGATATTGTTTTCTCATAGACATATTAGTGCATTGCAATTCTTTGCTGAAGAACACGAGGAAGCCACAAACAAAACATCACATGGATACACAAAGGTTGTTTCTTCTATTGCTGATGTTCATTTGCATATGTAAATTATTTAATTCCGTTCATGAAGAAGGTATCAGAAGGCTTAGGGGAACATGAAATTTTGTAGAAATGCAAACATAGGAGAGGGCTGTGCAGAGAAACACTGCCCTTCTCCCCGCTCTCCTCCCAAAGAATGCAAGTGTTGAGGACTCCCTACAAAGAGGGGAAAATGCCAGGTAGAAAGGTTAACAAAATGTAAATCCAGGTAAGATTCTGTCCAGCCGACAAAGAAAAGTCATTCTCCACACTGCAATATTTTGTTGTAGGATTTGTTTGTAATAAACCATTTCTATTCTGTCTGACACGATTGATCTCAAAATCCAACAGTTAAGACCCTGAAGGCAAGAGAGGACAGGATGTCTTATGAAAATGGTTGAAGTCTATGTTTCCAAAATCTTGTTCAATCCGAGGTATTTCAAAGCTGACCCCATTCAAAGTTGTTATTCCTCGGGGCCATTGTTACATTATCACTCGTAGATTTCATTTCAGAATTGAATCTGAGCAATCCTGTGTATATTTTCCTTAGCAATAAACCCCACTTGATTCATCCAGAAATGCCCATTGAAATAGCATTGGCAGAATTGCCATCATGCAGCTTGATTATAACAAATGATACAGCTACACTGTAGAATGAATGCAGTTTGATACTACTCGAACGGCCATGACTCAATGCTATGCAATCATGGAAGTTTTAGTGTTATAAGGTCTTCAACTCCAAAGAACGTGGGGCTTCATCAAACAACAATTCCCAGGTTTCCATAACATTGAGATATAGCAATTAAAGCGGTGTCCAACTGCATTCATTCTACATTATTTCTACACCATACAGTATATGTGCAATGTTTACTTGAAGATCCATGAGTTTTCAAGGGATTTACTTCAGAGCAAATGCAGTAAAGAGTCTGCAGACATGAATGTATTTTCCACATTATCAAAACTATACTATCCCCAGCTACAAATCCATATTTTTATTTTAAAAATCATAAATCTCACCCTTTGGACTTTCTTGGTTTCCATTCCTTACATCCATATTTAACTATAATGCAAATTAAAAGACCACACATGGGTAAGATGGTGGAGTTTGCTTTGATGTTGCTGCAATGAACCTCACTGGTAACAGTATGCTAACTCTCACTCTAAAACAAAACTTGCAGCTACGATCAGGGGAAAAAGTACATTTATAGTCAAGGGGAACACAAGACAGTTAATGGTACGTCTGATGTGGGATGAGAGAAGAGACAGGCTTTAATCATTTTATTTCAAAGGAGCTTTAGAGATCTTTTGAAGATGAATTACTTCCCTGAGCTTTATCAGAAAAGAATAAGAGGCAGAGATATTTCCCATTCACCTTTTATCCAGCCCTTGATCTCTAGGTTAAACTAGGCGTATGCTTATAGGTAAGCTCAAATGCACAGAGCCACAGCTAGACTGAGAATGGTGCATGCAGCTGGGATGTGGTTAGAGATCCAACACTAAACTCTGAAGTTCAGGACTCATCATATGATTTCCCATAGCCATGCTTCCAAGGAAAATTTGAAACAAATCAACCAGATGTGCTGATCCACAGCAACAAATGTCCCAGTTCTGGGAGTTCTGGTTCTACTGCACTGTAGTAAACCTATCGGATTATTCTGGGTAGATAAATAAAGTCCAAAAATGCACAGCCACATATTCCAGCCCAACTCCAACATCCACAGCCTCCCCATGTTGAACTGAGGGGCAGGCATGTAGCCAGGAGGGGGGGGGGCTTGAAGGGCTTCAGCCCCCCCCCCAAAATTCTCATGATGGTTCGCGAAAAGGCCTTACTGATGCATTATTTAAACTGTTATGTTTATTCATATCATGATCTGATCACCATATCAATATATCCCATATGCATGGGGGTATTGGGGTAATGATACAAAAGGTTTGCTAGGCTAGACCCTCTTTCACTCAACTCCCCCCCCCCCCAAAAAAAAACCCTGAAAAAATTTCCCCCCCCCCCCCCCCCCGAAACGAAATCCTGGCTATGGGCCTGCTGAGGAGTCCTCCATTCACCCTATCAATGTACAAAAGCATTAACAAGTAAGGAGTATGGATCAGGCAGGAGGCTGCTTCCTTTCACCCTGCA